GCCCCTGCCCAGCCTGCAGGCGGGAGAATGAATCCAAGCCTATTCTCCCACCTCTCCACTTGGGTAAATGTTTGACAGGTTGGAGGGTTACCAGCTGCAGCCACTGATGAGCCCTGGGGAGATTTCCCCGTCTCCCAGGGGCTCATAAAAGCCTGGCCCACACTCTGAGATCTCTTTCCATCCCCATTCCCTCCAGGTGGCTTCATCCTGGTGCTTGAACAGCCCTGTGTCCCCAGCAGTCCTTACAGGCAGGATGTCCTGTCATTTAGCAGATTCTTTGGGGCAACTCAGGTGCTGCACAGCTCCAAACTGCCCTGATGTCTCCAAGCCCCATCCTACCGCCTCTTGCCCCAGCCCTGAGCTCCGTGCGCCAGCCCCATCCCGCTGCTGGGCTCCCCGGGATGGTGTCTCCGTGCGCGGTCCCTTCCCAAGGCCGGCGCCTGCCTGCTGGCCTCGCTGTGGGTTTATGGCCCTGATGCAGCACCTGGCCACACATGGCAGGTACCCGCGGTGCCGATCAGCTCCACCAGCTGCATGCAGACACCAGCACCCCTCCTGGCCAGATCCATACAGGTACTGATGCTGTCTGTGCCCTTGCTGTTGTCCGGGGACCTGCCGTGAGCCTGGCATCCCCTCCACATCCCTCTCGCCACAGGCTGTGCCAAGGCTGCACGGGGAGGGATAAACCTTCTGGGCAGCAAGCAGGGAAATGGCCCCCTAGCCAGGGGCTGATGTGCTCCAGACCCCCAGGGACTGGCAGGGGACGCCCCAGGAAGATGACACGGGAGCGTTGGTGGGTCTGACCTCGTGATGCTCAAGTCCATCACCACCAGGTTCGTACCTGCAGCTCGAGGAAGGGTGGCCGATGCCGCACGGGGCAGAGCGAAGCTGCAGCCGGGGAGCCAGGGTCTGTGGGTGCTGTGATAGCACCGGGGGATAACCAAGCCATGAGTAACGGGGCTTTGTGGGTGCCAGGAAGCCTTGGAGGGATGTGGGGACCTTGACTGGAGGCTGTTCCTGCCCTTATATGGAGAACATGGGCTGGGACAGGAGGGGACAAAGGTCTCCTGGGCGCTGGCACCTGAGCACTTCGCCTAGGTACGCGGCTCGTGCCCAGCTCG